CTTCAATATATATATATATATATATATATATATAAACTACTATTTTATATAAAACAAATAATATGAAATATAATGAAAGTTATAGGGGTCTCAAATGACATTGAGATATTTTTAAAATATCAGCTTTTGTGTTCCATAGAAGAACCAAAGTCATAAAGGTTTGGCACAACTTGAGGTGAGTAAATGATTTTCATCAAGACCTTTTAATTGACTTCAAAATATGTATCTTTATTCTATCCAGTAATTCATTGAAACTGTAATCTGACACACAAAAAGTCCAGCAAATGTCCTTTTTAACTATTAAATCATAACCACATGTCAGTTAGTGCCCCATGAAGGAGTCCAAATATATTTCTTTTATTTCTAAACATATTGCTTTTTAAATGCAGTCAAAAGATTGTATGTTACTGTTTAGATCCATCTTTTTTGTCTTGTGTTATTTATAGAAACTCTTGTCTCACAATAAATACTCCTGTTTGAAATTAGTGCTTGATCAATAATTCATAACAGTAGATTTTTAAATCCAGTTTTGAGATGAAGAGAAGGGGGAGGGGTGCACATACTGTAAATGTGTAAAAAAAATCAGTCCTGGTACAGTGAAAAATGAGAAGAGTCAGCAAACAAGGCTTTGCTGTGTTTGTCTTCTTGTGTCTCCACCCGGGATCCGGATACACAGTTCCGTTGGCCTTGCCGATGGTTCTGCACACTGCCGGAGGCTGTGTGAAATCTCTAGTGTGACTAGAGATAAAGCTTCATTCAAATAGGTACCTGGAACTCTACATGCAAATCTCCTGCCTGGCAGGTTTAAGTAAAACAGCCTCATGTGGCTGAATGAACGGACATTGTGGGCCTGATATTGGAGGAGAAAGGCAATGCAATGAAAAAAAAAAGAAATTTATATTTATGAATGGAATGATTCCTGTGATTAAACTTTGACCAACTGGGACTCCTTAGTCTTAGTTGTGCAAACATTTTGACTCAGAAGAAAACTCAGAGATTTACTGACGTCTGCTTCTCAGGTCACTCCCATCAATGGAGTTCAAGCTGCTTTGCCAAACAAATTCCTACTGACACAGCTTTGTGCACACCGCCCCTCTCAAACAAAACAGACAGTTAGGAAAATCCAATCAGTCCACACTGTACTGTATCATAAAGCACACATTACACACCTCACATGTGGTTCCCTCAGAACGCTGAAGCCTGGGTAGTGCCTAATCACAAAAACATGGTCAGGACAGGTAAGTGCGGTTATTCAGTAAAGAGGAACTTATTGAGAAAAAAAGCTGAAGAAAGTTGGTCAGAAATCTCATCACTTCCACTGCTGACCTGTTCCCCATCTGTGCCCTGCACACCTGCTCACCTGTCATAAAAGTTCAGAACAGAAATCAGTGTCCACATCGGGGTGGAAACAGACAGTGCATCTCTAGTAAGAGTTGGTAAACAAATCTGTGGTGCCCATGCAAATGATTCTTTTTGTTACCTCAGCTACAGGGTCTGAGTCATACTGAGGACAGTTACAGCCGCATCCTGGAACGAGACGGTAAAGCTAACAGCAAATCACAATCTTGCTCAGGGAGCCAATCGGTGTCAGATTTGGATGACAGACAATGAATGAGCAAACTGGATTTTAGGACTAAGACAAGAGGGTGGGGTGACATGTAGCCTTGAAGCGAGAAAGGGGAAATGAAGGGGCAAGCGCACACCTGAGTTCCACTTCCTCTTTTTCTGTTGCTTGTGTTGATTTTGCATGATTTTGTAAATCCGAAAACTGTTTGTCCACCATTCATGCAACAGTGGACTAACAGCAATTTCAGATTATTAAAATTAAACTGGTTTTAGTACCTACTGCTCCAGTCTAATGCCTTACGTGCCTGCATACACTATTCATCAAAAGTGTGGAGACAAGCCTACTTTCTATACAAGAGACTGTTATATTGTAGCCAAGGCTGAATTTACTGTATTTGACCCAGAAATACAGTAAATTCAGTAATACTGTTTGTTTTCTAGTTCAACATACTTTAAAATGTAATTTATTTTCAGCAGCCCATTACTCCAGTCTTCAGAGTCACATGATCCTTTATTTATTTATTTATTTTTCTTCCCCAGAATTCTTTGAACTGAATTGCAACATTAGAAATGCCTTTGCTGTCACTTTTGATCAATTGAATGCAACCTTGTCATATAAATGTATTAATTTTGAATGTATAGTGTATAACAAAAAATGTGTAATCGTGTATCTTTAACCAAACTGTCATGAATTATAATGATGTGCCTTACCTAGTTACGCTTAGTTTGAAGCAGAGCTGTTGAAAAAAAAAAAAAAAAAGGTTTGAAGATGGAAATCA